TGCCAACACTGGAGCCACTAGACCCAGGTCGCATTATCCGTGAGATCTGGGGCCTAGCCTTCTTCAGCTCACGAGTTGCTGCGGCGCCGATGGTAGCGGCACCGGAATTCGCTTTAGCAATTGAGGGTTTGTTAAACATGTTAAGCCTGGCACTTCTCCGTTGTGCAGGTGCGTTGGCTTCTTCCGTGTGTTGCCTAGATACCGGATGGCCCGAAACCGTCCTCTTCCGCTCCGTGGGTGCCATGGTCGACCGCAGAGTGCCGGTCCCAGTATCGGAATGCAGCTCGACTGAGTCCTTGTCTTGGCTTCTGGTACTTCTTTTGGCACCTAGCTTGTAACCGACCTTCGGTGGGGCTTCGAAAAGGCTGGGATCCACGGCCTGGGCTGTTCTTGTCCTCCGTGGCGGCGCTTGCGGTGGCTCCGCAGCGTTGAAAGCTGAACGCATTGTAGGGACCTCTGGCATAGACACTGGGCCGGTGGGTGTTTCCATGAGGTCGAGTTCACCGTTGCTCGTGGACGGTGGGGCTAGCCTAGATCTTGCTGCTGTGATTTTTGACATGAAATCATTCTCCTCTGCTTCCGCGGAGAAGAGATTGGCACTATAAGGCATATCCTGATATGTGGAGGATCGATGGAGGTTGAATGGGTCAGATGAGTCCGCTGTTGATCGAATCGGAGGCCGTTTTGGCTCAAAGGAGTTTGCCGAACTCTCCTTTGGCTCCTGGGGCAATACTCCCTGCTCCTGTTCAAAACAATGAACCAGAGGATCGGTGACCTGGAAAATATTTGGTACACGCAACTTTACTCCCATGTCGCTGAGTGCCTGGAAGGCATCCCACATGAAAGGGTTGACTCTCACTGCAGTCTCGAAACACTCGATTGCCCTTCGCTTGTCGTCGTACGCCCGATACAGCTTGCCCAACAGACACAGAACCGCAGCTTCGTCTGGATAGAGCGAGCGGGTCGAGGTGGTGTGCTTGCCCATGTTCGTCTTGCCGATCCATTTCTCTCGTGCTTTTTCTAGGGCATTGATGCCGTCTTTGTATCGTTCCATTTTGACGCATGCGTGCGCAAATATCCAGGCAGCGCCCAAATTCGTTCCACGATAAGCTGATGGCCTGCTAACTTCGAAGGCAGTTCGGTGGTCACCGAGACGGAGGTGGCATAGAGCCAGGAGATGTGCGGACTCGCTCGACTTGGGATCTTGGGCGCTTAGCCTCTCGGCGAAAAAGAGGGCGTTCTCGTAGGCATTGTTGTCGACATGGTAGTACACTACCTGCCGCAGCAGCCCTGTTATGGCGGCACTCGTGGGCGCCATTCTCGGTGGGTGTTGGAAAAGAGGTGGGCGGTTCGGTGGAGGAGGGTTAACGTCCACGGCAGTTTATGGCCATGGGATCTCGCGGGTGGTGCAGCAACTGTTGAATTTGAAGGGTAAAAATCGCGGTCCTCGGTAGCGTCCCGATGCACTGGACGTGCAGCTTTGGTCGGGAAGCGTTATTCGGGCTCTGTCGAGCTTGGGTATAGGATTTTGTGCAGGCGCAAATTGTTGCGTCCGTGAATTTCGAGGTGGGCGTTCGCGCAGAGCCTGAGGCCGAGAGCAGCAAGGGTACTGGAAGCGCGTTTGTGTCGACAGATGATTGAGGATTAACAATTATAGAGCAGCAGAAGGCGAGAGTGCAAGGTCGAATTGAACCGGTAAATGCTGCAAAAGGCGACGGCGAGGTTCGTAAGGTCGTAGAAGTGGTTCAATGGGCAGTTTGCGGATTGTTGCCTGTCGGGGCGAAGAAGGCGTTCGTTGCGTGGTGGGTCCCCGTGGATTGTTGTTTGGGTTCGGCAACAGGCGGGCAGTGAGTAAACTCAGTCAAAGTGCAGCAGTATCGGCTCTTTGCAGCAACACAAGACAAAATTCGCGGTCCATCTGACTGACTAAACAGAGCACACCCAAAAGAAAGCAGAACGGGCGCAACGAGAACGCAGCGAGATGGGCACGGCAAAAGACTCCCCAGGGAACGAGTGAAGTGGAAGTGAACAGGATGGAGGGGGAGGATGATGGGGGGTTGCTGCCCAGAGGTAAACAGCCAGGCGGGAGGCGGGTGACGGACGAGACTGAAAGTGAGCGAAGTGAGAATTCTCCGTAGCTCGTCAGATCAACAGGCGTCAGGCCAGATCAGCCGTGCACTCTGCGTGGGATGGCAGGAGGGAAGGGGAGAGAGGTAGAGATGGTCGTGAAGGTGTCACTTTAGGTCCAGATCCAAGGCCATGTTGCGGCTTGCCATTATGTGCATGTCCAGTCAGCGTCTCTTGCTCCAAGTCTGGACGATGGTGTGTTGACCTGACTGCGGCGTTTCCTTCCTTAGGTCGCGCTCGGTGTGGTGACACTACAAAGCTGATTGGCTCATACGATACCTCAGCGACCGCCGCCGTCTTTGCCCAGCAACCCGACCGGAAGAAGCGCCTACCAAAAGATACTTAGATACCTACTCTAGCTGACCAGCCCCCCTGCCGCCAGCCCCCCACCTGCCAGCCCGTTCTGTCGTTCTGTGTCCGCGTCGCTGTCGCAGTCGCAACGCCTCCCCCGTGCCTTCCCCTTGCGCCAGAGACATTTACCCGCCACCTTTGGCTTCCATTCCCGGGGCTCCACTTATCGCCGTCTGCCCGTTCCATTGGGTCCCGCCGCGCCTGAGCCACAATATCAGCCATCCGCCTCGACTGCTGGAATTTCGTCACCCTGATCCTTTCAGCCTCAATTCCAACAAGGTCGCAACCTGTCTTCTACTCCCAGGAACGTTGGACCCCACTTTCGAAGACCGACATCATTAACTTAATTGTCTTGACCTCACTCACGTTCTCGAGGCCTCTTATCGTCACAATACCTTACTCCGTACCTTGCATCCAACTTCATACCCCACGACACAACCCTCAGCATCCTCCACCATGGCGCAAAAGGCAAAGAAGGACAGAGCCAAATCCAACGCCACCACCTTGAACAACCTCCACATCGGTTCCGCCGTTGTCAATGTCGCCTTTCTCATCTTCTACTTCATCTTCAAGTCCCGGTCTCTCTTCTGGTTCATCCTGCTCTCCTCTCCGGCCCTCATCTGCGAGTACGTCCTTGAGAAATCTGGCCGTCCCAAGTACGACGCGGGAGGAGGCCTCAAGTCCTCTGGCGAGGACTTGGCCGCTGCGGGCTTGACCGAGTACATGTTCGACGTCGTATGGGTGACTTGGGCCTCCGTCATTCTCGTTATCTTATTCGGCAACTGGGGTTGGTTCCTGTGGCTCGCCGTGCCCGCCTACGGCGCATACGCTGGCTATGGCTTGCTCGGAGCTGGCAAGCGTATGGCACAGATGGGCGCTGCGAACAGCGATGAGCCTGCCCCGCCCGCCAACAGGAGGCAACGTCGAGCCGCATAGTCAGAGTCATATTTTGTGCTGCCTAGGACTTGAGCGCTACGAGCCAGGTTATCTGTTCTATTCTATCGGGAATGCAGCGACTAGGTCTATCTGTGCCAGGATTGCTCCTCAGACCACTTCTTGATGACTTCCGGGTCGACGTCCCGCACCAGCACGTGGATGTGCTCCAAGGCCCGGACGCTCTGAAGGGCGACCCAATTCTTAAACCAGATAACCCTGTCTTCTCCGACATCACCAAGAGTTTTGACAAAGTACCTGTCAATGAAATCCTGAACAGTGCGCCTGCTCTCTACTGTCATGTCTCCGGTCTCAGGGTCCGTAGGGATGATGGTGCGCGACCAAACCACGATATGGGTGATGCCTGGGTCAAGTCCATACGGCCAATCGTTGACGAGAACCCGGTAATCGGAAGGATCCTCAAAAGGCACGATGGACTTGGGAGTAAAAGGTGGTTCGCCCCAGGGTTTGGGTAGGCGGTTGGTGAGAAGGAACTTGGTCATGGAGCCGTACTCGGCCTTAGTCTCGGCCGTCCATTTCATGTATCGACGAAGGTCTGACGGCTTTCGCTTCAAAACCTCGAGCTTATTTGTCGCTGGTGTCTAATCAGATCTTTGAAACAGAATATCTATAGAAGACGCAACGCAAACGCGCTTACCAATGATCTCCTTGAGCTCCTCCCAGCCATGCTTCTTGAACTCCTCATCTGTCTGTGAGAGGACCCACTTATCAACGTCTGTGAGCGGGAAAGGTGCCTCTTCAACTGGAACGTCACCCATGTTGAGTATTTAGCTTGAGTAAATAGGTAAGCTATATGTCCGGCTTGTAATGGGTGTTGGGGCGAGTAAGTGAGGCCTTTTCGGAAGATAGGATGTAGTCGTTTTCAAGGACGGGAGTAAGGATAAGCGTGTCACGAAGTTGAATAGTTGGCGGTAAGTAACGGCTGTCTGGTGCGGGCGGCCCCCGAGCAGCGGAAGATCAGCGGTCCGATTTCCTCTTTGGGATACGACAAGCTACCATGTAGGGCAGGGCGACAACTTTCACCTCATAGTTCATCCCATTTCTCGAGCACCGATGATGCTGCTTCCGGTTATTCAATCTCTTTGCACCGTGTTACTAATACCAAAAAAGAACCGGGAAGAAAGTCACCAGGGATCGATAGCTCGCCGAGGTGTCGGCAGGTGCTAGTGCTGCAAGGGATCCGTGCTTCTCAGGTACCTGGTTGAGCCGAGTGCTGGCTGCCTCTGCACGAGGAAGTAGGCACCTGGTAATCGGGCCTTGACCTGAGCAATCCTTCCAGACCTTAATTCGACATTCTCGTTACGTCGAGAAACAGGCGGACGCTCGTAGTTGTTGCCGGATGTTGAGTGGAAGGTGTGTCTGGCATTGATCGGGCAACTTCGACCCTGGTTCGGCAAGCAAGTCTTCTAGCGATCTTGAAGAACGGGGAACCCCATTTCAACTTTGGCCCAACCCCAACTCCAACCACCTCGCAAACAAGACGACGAAATTCTGGCATCACTCGAACTAAAGTGTTACTCTACGCGTGCACAAAGTCTTGAGATAATCACACTGAGCACCAGCCCAACATGGATAACTCGACAGACGCCGCCTTTGCGCATCCTTACTACCCAGTCACCGCTGCCCTACCGCACTATGTCGCCAACAAAAACTCCGTTCTCAGCTTGCTCGTATTCTTCGGGAGCATAATATCCTTCGTCGTCTTTACAGCCGTCGCGGGTGCTAGAAATACCTATCCCCAGCTGAAAGCCTCGGACCAGCTTACCGTGGCTTGGTTTGCTCTTTGTGCGTGGTGCTCAGAACATTGCTTGCCCAGCTCTGGCTAATCGCTTCATTCACGCAGGCGGTTTCCTTCACTGTTTCTTCGAAGGTGTATTCGCGATCCTTCGGTTCCTCTCAGTCCAAGTCTAACGTCTCCACAGGATACTTTATCCTCAACCACAAGAGCCTGGCCAGTGACCAAAGTCTCTTTGGCCAGCTGTGGAAGGAGTATGCACTCTCCGACTCTCGCTACCTGACCTCCGATCCATTTATGCTCTGCGTTGAGTCCTTCACAGTAGTAGGTCGCGCTGCTTCTTGGTATTTCGAAAGAGCCCACTGTTGACCAAGATTCCAGCTCGTATGGGGCCCCCTCTGCTGGGCCATCGTCATCACTACTGCCAAGCGGAACCAGTTGCGTTACCCATTTCAGATCATCATGAGTGTTGGGCACCTGTACGGCGTCGTGCTTTACTACTCAACCAGCTTGATCGAGTTCTACTCCAACGGAGTATCGCATAGCAGACCTGAGTTTCTGTACTTCTGGGTCTACTACGTTGGTTTCAATGCTCCTTGGGTCATTGTGCCTGCGAGTAAGTCAACATTTCTTCACCCCTCGTTCTTCCGTTGTTTCTGACGCCGTTCTGCCCTAGTTATTCTCTACCAAACCACGGTCCATATCAAGAGGCACCTCACAGACCGTGCGGACGTGGTGGCCAAGCTGAACAGGATTGATGGCATTATGGGCGACAAATCTTGGCAGACGTACGTGCCTAAGGACGAGGAGAAGAAGACAAACTAGCTTTATGGTAGCTGTAAAAGTGGTGGTTTAATTATGCCGAACTGTCTTTGCGGTGGAGTAGATTCATAACACCACAAGGCTGATCCAATTAAAACATGTTCACCACCGTTCGATGACCATCGTCAGGCAGGCTCACACTCCTTCTCCATATGAACTTTTGGTTCTCGAACATGTCTGGAACCAATCGAGCGCGATTTGCAGCCTTCCCGTTCGTCATGTTGTACAGCCGCGCTCCTAGTGAGTGGAGTCAGCTATCCCGAATTGGTAGTTATAGAACGCACTTGAATAGCGACGCTGAAGAAATGAAATGCTCGCGATGTATATAAAGGGGAACAAATGTCCAGACATGAGGGAGACGAGAACATTCAACCTCCTCACTTTCAAGCATCTCACCCAAAATCTTGTCATACTTCACAATGCAATCCCTTAACTTTCTTCTCACTGCCCTTGCCGCGACAGCAGTTAGGGCAACCTGTCTCCCATCATCCCATGGGACCCCTGCCTTCCCGTCATCCATGATCACCTTCTCTGCCGGCTTCGAACAGCCACAGCCACCTCTGATCAAACCAGAGTATCAGGCCAGTTTTGTTCAGCATAAATGGTAACTTTTTCCCCGACCGGTAATAATGTTACGTTCTTTCTAATCGCGAGAGCCAGGAATGCGAACCTATCCCACATCACGACTGGTTACATCGACAATTCCCCTTCCGATGCTTTCGTCCGTGTGGGCGAAGCCTACGAGGGTCAGATTTCGTGGTCGTTGTTTGACTATTCCAACGTTAGCGAGTCAGGCCTCGTGGACAACACGATGACGACGTATGGCCCGAACTCCACCACCCCGAGCGTGTGGAGGGGTTATGTGAACTCGAATTTCCCCATCTTTCAGAGTGATATTCTGGTCGAAGCTGGAGCAGTCTACGAAGGACTCGTGCAGAGGGATTTCATCCCATCGCCTGTTGCCGCGGTAAGAGACCCCTGCTATCTCAATTCATCTCTCGTGAACCGTCGAGTTGACCATTTGTTCAGTGGAGCATCATGTACCAGGGTGCCATTCCGGTGACGGTCTACGTCAATGAATGTAATGTTGTCGTTGGCTACGACTACTTTGCCCCTGACTTGCGAACCCGAGTGATCATGGAGTTCTTCAATATTCAGGCAAAGTGAGCTTTGAACCGCGTTTCCCCGGGGGCTTCGACACTCGCGCCATACATGTTCGGCTTGACCTACTTGACTTCATTTCTTGATCCATAGAGGCTCCTGCTCGGTATACTCAATATATTTCAAATGTCGTCCCGTGCTATTCCGCGTGCTGGTATTCCCACAATTCTTGTAAATCCCTTTTGATTCTCCCTGAGACCGCGAACCCTTTTGTTGCTATTCTGTCAAGCAATCTCACAATCTCATCCCTTTGTAAAGACTGACTTGTGTTTGCTCCAGCCATTCGGAGAGAGAACAGGAGTAATACCCCCGGTATGTTGGAATATTCGAGGATTTGGTTTGACAGATCTACCACAGCGGTTACATGCGCCTCAATCTCATGTGCTGCTAGCGAGGGGATGTCTTGCCCCTCCCAACATGCGTAATAGGCATAGTTTCTACACAAGAATAGTTGGAGAGCATTGTAGTTTGATAAAGCTAGCATGCGATACGGATCACGGTGATCAAAATACGATGTGATTTGGTCGTGCCAGCTGCAAAGTCGCTGCTGGAAACGTTGACCTTGCTCAGCTAGAGCGTGTATCGCCGGGTGCCCAGGTCGTAGTGTGTCCGGAATTGACTCGATACGGTCGAAGAACCTATCAATATTTTGAGCTCTGATTCATTTCAGTCAAGAATTCGGCTTGCTTACGCTTTACTAAAGGAAGAGATTTCGATCAGGAGGTCGAAGATTGCCTCTACTTGACTTGCTGGGTTTGCGACAAGATATCCTGGAGACTTTGACCACGGCTCCTGCGATAAAAACGTATCTTCGCCGTACAGAATCGCTCGGTTTGCCTCTAGCGATCTAAACGCTCCGAAGAGTCTCTTGTCAAGCTGACACGACTGACCCGTTGCTCCTACGCTCTGGATGATCCTAGCCGTCCCGTAGAGCATGTGTTTGGCCCACAGGTCTCCAGAAGTTTCAGTCATCAACTTCAACTACCAGTCAGTAAACGCGATTCAAAAAGCGAAACATGGTTGAGGTATTTCACCTCGAATAGCCCAAGAAGTAGCGTGCACCAGAGAACTCCACCGCAGCGGAACCCGTTTGATACCTGCAGTCGAGCTCGGAGCGTCTTGACGGCTTCCCCGTATGACACAAAGGCAACGGTGTAAGGTGGCTGCTGCCCGCGAGAGGACTTGACGGTTGCGCGTCGGCTGGCTTCGAGTGCGCCAATCGCTGTCACTACTTGCCCGAGCGGCAAGCATGTTTGGGCCAGGGGTAAGAGGTCGGCAGCCAGGCCGTTGAACTCATCTGTGAACAGACAGCGCTTCATGAAGAGATCAAAATAGTCAAGGTAGAGTATAGCGCTGGGTATGTTGACGTGTGCCGGTAGTCCAGCGACTTGCATGCCTTCTTCAGAGGATCCGGGGCTGATGAAGTGCACTTCGGTCGTAGATGTGGCCTGAGGTAGGCAACGTTTCTTGGTTCGAGTACAGTACTCGCAGGGAGAACCGCCTTGACACTGATTTGTGATTGCTGTGTGTGAGTTCAAGTAACGCCATATGTGGGAATGAGCTGTGTATAGGTACCTACCTTGATACGCCTTTTGGTGCATGGCAGACAGCGAGTCCGTCTCCTGCGGTGATCCAGCGGACCGACCTCACGCTTGATCTTCATTTGAGGATGCCGACATGAATGTTTATGTGTCAAAGTAGAGTTCCATCTCTCGAAGGCGGAATTCGAACAGGAGGCGCACAAAATAGTAGCGCTCTCGCTAGTCTACGATTCTGGATGTCTCGGGAGTGGTCACTGGTGGCAGTGCGGACTTATACAAAAGCTCCACTGCCACCCCGCACTAGTAGGCAGCTTTACTCGATTTAGAAGTAATTGAGCGCAGTGGACCCTCAGCAGCGCCTGAAAGCGCAATAACTGATCCCTCAACTGATCGAATATACTCATGACGCTGCGAGACAAATATGGTTGAAACTTATTTACTGTTTAATACCCACCATGGGGCAGGCCCATGCGTTTTCAACATATGATGGACTGGGCTAGCATGATAATTGGAGGACCATAGTACGTACTTGGAAGTTGGAGAAGCCAAAACCCCCCATCGGCCACCACCACCAAAACCCACCACATCCGCCCATGCTATCCATCGTCACCAACCACGACAAAACGACGATAGCCTCACAAAACAAAACCTCAAAAACATACAACACCAGGTATTCGCTGGTCGTCACCGACCCAACTACTAATCCGGCCCTCATTGGCTTGTCTATGGGAGAGCGGACGGGATCCCGAATTTTCCAATGGGTATGGTCGTATGTGGCAGTCTTAAGGGAGAAGCAGACCTGTGAAGCTAAGCGTGCGGTGGTGCCCACTCGATCTCCATGAAGCAATACTTAAGATCATTTCAAGAATGGTCCCGGCTCTCAATCAAAGCTAACACTTCGTTATTGAGTTTCAACCTCGGTTACTTATAGGCGTCGACGGTTTTCCCTAAGGTACCTTATGTCGTGGTTGAAGACCCATCTGCCGTTGAGGTGGGGAAAATGCCGCCGCTGTGTTGTCAACACGCATGACACCCGCGCCTAGAGGCACAACTCACGGCAGATGGGAACGGCATTCGATGAACATAGAAGCATCAAATTCAGTCGTCTTGGATTATCGGCAAGTCGTCGAAGAGCTTTCTTCGAGGAAACGCGTGCACGAGGAGTATGCCCTGCACGTTTTGGGGTTCACCTCCCTATGGCTTATTCCAGTAGATGGAAGACCAACGCTACAGCAGATCGGTGTTGGTTTTAAGGAGAACTCCTAGTATACAGCCAGAAATTTTTGCTACACTTTCATGAGGCCCAGGGTGCTCTAAGTTATTAGTCCAAGCCGAGAGACGGTATGGGCACGTAGACAGGAAACGATGGCTTCAGCTTAGTGACAATATAGGCATTACAAACCCGACATCCTAAGCTATCTTCAAGTCTCCGAGACTTTGCACCAAGTTGTGAACATAATCCATGGTATTCTCGTCATACACCGTACCTCGGGTCTTGTCAAACGGCCCGCCACTTGGGCCAGCCGTGTTCAACTCGATTTGCGACTTATCCAGCATCAACTGAGCAAGCATCCAAAACTCCTTTGCGTGGCGTATGAAACCCAGCCGTCGCCACATTTCGTCGCACAGCAGGAGACCGGGTGAATTTTCAGCGACCCAGCTGTCGGCCTGGTCGTAGAGCGAAATCCATCGGTTCAGCCCCATCTGAAGGTGCCACGATCCGCTGTTGGGCGCGAGAGATACTTCGTAGTGGAACCCGAGGGTGTGTAATGCTAAGTTATACCGCGTAAGCGTCTGCCCTCGTTTGCGTGTAAACAACACCTGAAGTACTATGAAAAGTAAAGATTCAATTGAAGTAAGGTACATACCAGTGATGGCCGTGAACAGGTTCAGCATGCTGAGACCCGCTAGACCTTCGCAAGTTTCTTCGTCGCTGAGGTAGTTGTTGCACATGGCCTCGACGAGATCGACGACCCGCATGTGAGCTTGTCTCGGTTCGCTCGAGGTCCAATTGTGTAGGAGGACGAAGCACTCTTCTTGAGAGGACGCTTGGAAGCAGGAGTCGGGACAGACGATACTCATTCTCATCTCGGCGACCACGAGTCTCGGAGGTGAGTTGTGGAAGATGACAAACGCACCATCGAATAGGAAGATGTAGGTCCCGGTTCTTTTTGTCGCACATCAGACTCTGCTTGCCTTTTTGGGAACTCCATGCCTCCTATGTGGTAAACTCACCGAATAAGCATCTCCAGTAATACAAACCTTTTCCAGCTGAAAGTGGAGGAATCATCAACCGGCAGCTTATGACGGGTAAGATCATCCAAACCGAAGTCTCTTGCTGCCTGAAAGTACGGTGGTCAGCTGGTAACGGGAGGACTATGTGCAAGATTTGCATCTAACTTACATCCAAGACAACAGCATACCTATTCCTCCGAATACGACGTTTACTCGATTTCACACCCTCCCAATACTGTATCAGACAAACCAAGTAGGCAGCTTGGATCGCCTCGAGACGCCTATAGACCGCGTCATCGTCACATGAGACGGAATCGTTAACAGTGACAGACTCATCAAGAAGAACCTCGTCGAGGAAGGCGAGTTCTTCTACACTGTTGAACCAAATGTTGGCGTTCGCGCGGACGCTCGGCGACGGAGAGAGGCATGCTCCCAAGACGGCCATGGCGGCGATGAGCAAGGGTGATGCGTTGGAGGTCGAGAAGGATGGTTTGTGAATGATGGGCCAGTTGGGATACCAGCATGACCAGAATAGCTCGAGGTTGTCTTGTAGTCTTTGAGGGGAGAAGAAGTTGTGGCAGGAAAACTCGATGGAGCTGGACCAAGAGATGTCGATTTTGCTGCCTCTTGGTTTGCTGATGGTGATGTCTTTAAGCATTGCGACAATCTTGCACGTCAGGTCAAGAGACTCCCCCACTTGGAACCTGGAGAGTTGATCGTCAGACCGGTTATTGAGGCTGTATTGGGATTCGGTCGAGAGCGAGACAGAAGGGGTCTGGCTAGTGCGCCATGATATCTTAGGCTCTGCGGTTAGGGGAAATACCGAGCGCAAGTAATTGTCCCAACTGCGACCATCGCACCCGAGGTTTGGTCTCCGGATCTGCTGGAGTAGTAACTGTCGTTCTTGGAGTGAGCCACATTCGAAGGACTGCGCCAGACCCGCGAACTTGGTAAACCTTTTCATATAGTTAAAGTGATATTTGATCGTGTTCTGTGTCTGGGTCTCGTATGGGAAGTCGAATGTGGAGTAGACCAGGTCGGGAATGAGCAGGTCGGGCGCTTCTTCAGCATGGTAATGGAAGGAACCACCTAGGTCTAACTCGTCGGTCAGGGGTTCGTCTAGATATGTATCTAGAATGCCGCCTCCAGTTGCAGGCATGTAAAATAGGTCGTTTCTGGAAGCGCGCGCATCGAGTGGTGTGGTCGGGACTGGAGATTCTTGGGCCATGGATCGTTCCGTCAGAGTGCCTGATTTAGCATCGCTGCGGTTGTTGTCTGCCATAGGTGATGTATCCCGTTGTGTATCATGCGCAGCCAAAGTATCGTTCTCATCGCTGGCAATCTGTGCTGTATACGTGCAAGGCCTGTTGTCTTTTAGACAGGTACGACATGGCCACTGAGAGCTGCAAGCTCGCTTCCGAAGACTGCAACGATCGCAGGCTGTCTTCTTCTTGCCTCTGGTGTTTTGAGGAAGTTGCGGAATCTCTACGTCGGCCCGAAGCCTCTCTTTGCAGGCCTTGAAATGACGCTTGAGAACGTCTCTGTTCCGAACGTAGTTGGGCTTTAGCATGGTCGTCCCTTCACACGAAATGAGCTTACTTGCCTGCGCCCGAAAGATTGCGAACAGAAATGGCAATTAAATGGGCGGTTTGTACTATCTGTGGCGGAGCCTAAACGTCAGAAATTCCAATGATCGAGCGTGGATGATGGGAGATTGGGCTTTTATACGCATCACTTCGTGGCGTTGAAGATGTTCGAGACGCGTGAACTTTCGGTCGCACACTTGGCATGTGATGCCAGAGGTAGCAGAAGAAGACAGCGTGCCGGAAGCCATGATTGATTAAATTATCAGTGTCGGGGATCATGGGGCGCCGAATAGACACTACGCGTGGGTGATCGGGGGTGATGGTTCTTCGAGGCAACATGTTCATGAAATACCGTTTGCTTCCCCAGACATTCCCCAATGTGGATCTGCGGGGAACCGCGCCTTGCCGGGAGGATCGGCAGAGAGGGGGCGTGAAGGGCTGGCTATTTCTGGCCACACTGTCTTTCGAGTGTGTATCTTTATTTCGGCACCTCACCTGAGTTATGTTTCTTCGACATGAGCAGCGTGAGTTTGGTCAGAGACTCGAATGCAAGGCTTTTTGATCTGTTTCTTGTGCCTGACTTCAGTTGTTTGATACCAATACTTCATGCGATGCCTATGTATGGGCTGATCTAGAGGATTCCCATTGTCCGAGTGAATCCATCTTCCCACCAAAAGCTAAACACTAGTCACTGATCTAGATCAATATCTACGCTGTACGCGTACCCAGAAGTTCCTCTGAAAAGCAAACCATTGCGTCTTTGTTTGCCAGGGGCGGTCCAAATCCACTAATGAAGCATCAAACCTGCGGAAGAACTGCGCAATGAAATTGTGCATTTCAACCGTGGCCAAGTTCTTCCCTACGCAGCTTCTGCTTCCCATGCCGAACTGTAATCGCGTTAGCAACCTTTGCTGCCCTCTCTGATGACCACACAGGGAAGAGACTTGGACGTGTTCTTACCGTTGTCAAATGGGAGTTCCAATACTTGATCTTTTCTTCATGGTTTGCATCAGTCGCAATCCATCTCTCAGGCTTCCACTCATCAGCGTCTGGGCCAAATATCTCCAGCGACCGGTTCATCGAAGCGGGACTTATGCCACATATCGTGCCTTCAGGCACTGCCATGTCATCGAGTTGCAAGCCTCCGGGACCAACCACGCGTGGAAGTTGATACTGAATAGAAGGGTGCAGTCTTGTACTCTCTTTGATGACGGCGGATAGGAACGGCAATTTGGACGACTCTAAGAACTCGATGTCTCGCCCTGTCTTCTCAAGTCCCAAAGAGCAATACGCTTCATCGATCTCAGCCTGGAGCCGAACGATCGCTTCGGGATGAAGAAGAAGCGAGCCCAGCGTGGCAAGAATGCCAATAGTTGTCGTATCTGCTCCGGCGCCCAGAATATTGACGCCTTCCATCATTACATCGCCCTTTGTGACCGGCTGCCCTGCCATATCTTTGGCATCGATGAACAGCTGTAACATATCTCGCCGCTTGAAACCAAGGCCATTTCGGTAGCGCTCGTCAACGCGGACCTCTAGCCAGTCCACAAATCTAGAGAAGGCCTGGAGCCGTTCGCCGCCAAAGGACCTAAGGGCCCACTGCGCGATGCGATTGTTGAACCACACCATTTGGAATGGCATGTTGCCCATGTTCGCCATGAGCCAAAAGCCGTCGTGGATTGACCGGATGATACCGTCAACATCCTTTCCCTTCTCGATGAAACCGATAGGGCCGCCCAAAGCCAGGCTACCAACCACGTCAAAGGCGAAGTAGTTTGCCCACTCATCCATGCGAACCGGAGCATTCCTATCGGCAAACTCTCCCATTTTCTGCCACATAGAGTTTGAGACATCTTGTATCAAGGGCTCCATGGATTGAATAGCAGTCATGGAGTACCCGGACGAGACGCGAGACCGCAGATGCCGATGAGTCTTGATGTCCCTGACGGCGAAGAAACTCATACTCATGTTGGGAACGGTCCAAGTGTCGTACCATTTGCTCTGTGATCCACAGTCAGATAACAGACTTCACATATTGGCAAGCTTCTGGTTGGGGCTCGGGTTCCTGACCTTGACAACTTTCTGACCATGGCCGTATAGTGCTTTCAGCCCGGCTTCATCGACAATGCTCAACTCGTTTGGGGCAATTCGGACGACTTTCCCGTACTTCCGGTGCAACAGGACGACATCTTGGTGCCATGTCCCTCGAAAGTACTTGTGGGATCTCCAGGCCTCGCTGAAACGGGCCAGCCATGGCCCTGGGACACTACTGAGAGGATGGAAAAACACGGTATATATGGTCGAAGAGAACCAGAGGAGTAGAACAACCGCAAACACCATCACATAACTCCAATTACCCATAATGTCCCTCGCAGAGGACATGTAACCATCACGTGGTAGGCTCAGAGACTGTGTCGAGACCAAGTTCATTGTTTTTGCTGCGTGGATAGTACTGATCAGATTTGGAAATATAACCTCACATGGGTGAGTCCGTTTGATACCAAGATAGAGGCTTCCTTTGACAACTCCGTCATACTGCTGCGCGGATACACCATAAACTTATATGGAAGATTCACCCTGGGCAGTACTCTCAACTGGATATGGTTGATCAGCCATAGTGGCTTTCCTGAAAGCATGTTGCATAGGAACGTATCGCCAGAGGATTAGTACGGGATTCAAAGCGTTCCCCGTGGGGTGTGGAGTTTGCCGGCAAGCATAATGAAGAGACGTCGGAGCAAACTCCACACCCCACGGGGAACGCTTTCTATCTCGCACCCAATTCTTTCAATCGATGGACACTAATCGCAGGAGGCTTCGGTAACTGGACTGGCAGCGACAAGCATAGTGGTGAGAGTTTACCGGTGCCCCGCACTCGGAGATAGTTTCACTTACACGGGCAGTAGAGCGGCGGTTTCGATGCGGAGTTGTGTGGGGAAAATCCCGAGAGGGTGTGCTGCATCGGCAGGCTCATGACCTCGGCCTCGGGATTGGGGCGGATGTTGTAACCGCAGGTAGAGGATGAAGCACTTGAAGTATGTTCAATCCGTATCTATAAGACAACATGAACGCGTTGTGGTACCATGAGTGAAAGCTTACTACTAAGCTCTTTCTTCCTTGCCTTGAAACTAGTTCATCGCGCCACGCACCAACAAGCGATCTTACAGCACTTGCTGGCCGGATACTTCAGCGTCATACAAAATGCCTTGCCCTCAACCTCGTCGTCTTCCCCCCGGCTGGAACGCCAATGACTTTGAGCGTTTCGTGGAGTCCGTAGTCCCAATCGTAGGGGCAGAGAACCTCGACATCATCTACGCAGACAAGGAGCTGGCCGATGGAGACTACGTCAACCCGTGCAAGTCTCATGACATGCACGCCGTCTATGAGAGGGACTTTTTCGTATCGTGCGCCATCGTCAATCCCAGGTCTGTCCCCGAGGTCCAAGATGTGATGCGGCTTTGCAACCAGCTGCAGATGCCCGTCTGGCCCTTTTCCATTGGCCGCAACACGGGGTACGGCGGCGCAGCACCGCGAGTTCCAGGCAGTCTCGGCATAGAACTCGGAAAGCATTTGAACAAGGTCCTCGAGGTAAATGTCGATGGAGCTTACGCTCTCGTCGAGCCTGGGGTCACATTTGCTGGTCTTTATGAGCATCTTGTCAAAACTGGCCTCAGCGAACACTTGTGGCTAGATGTGGGTTCTTCTTTGGCAAGGATTATGAAAGCATGTTTCTGACCATGGATTTAGGTACCTGATCTTGGAGGCGGCTCAATTATTGGTAGGAACTCCGACCTGGGTACATGTACATCAACTAACATACACAGGGAACACTCTTGAGAGAGGTGTCGGTTACAGTAAGCGCCGAGTGCTGGCCTTAATGCTGTCCCAGACTTTGTAGGCTGATTACTCTGGAAATTCCACAGCACCTTACGGAGGTAAGATATCGTCGTGAAGATTATTGTACTAAGTTGATCATATATCTGATGCTCAGCAGATCACTTCATGATGCATTGCGGTATGGAGGTCATTCTCCCTGACGGCACCCTCATCCGCACTGGAATGGGAGCGCTTCCGGACCCGTCTGGAGGGAATTCAGACCTTCCGCCCCATGAACAGAAGGCAAATTCTGCTTGGCAGCTGTTCAACTATGGATTCGGCCCTTACAACGACGGAATCTTTTCCCAGAGTAGCCTTGGCATCGTTGTCAAAATGGGAGTGTGGGTGAGTCAACCATGTCTTTTTCCTCAGTGACCTGGCCTTTGACCAAGGGTATACGTGCTGACAGTAACCGTGAAAGTTGATGCCGAATCCTGGAGGATATCAAGCCTACATGATCACATTCCCTCGTGAGGATGACCTGTCAGAAATCGTGGATATTATAAGACCGTTGCGCCTAGTAAGTTGAATATTTCCGTTTCTCGATTGATTGATTGACTTACGGAGACTGACGAGAATCAATGCCCACAGCAAACAGTCATTCAAAATGTGCCCACCATTCGCAATTTACTTCTGGACGCCGCCGTAGCTGGTAATAAGGCTTCTTACACGAAAAAGACCGAGCCACTATCCGATGAAGACCTTGATGCGATCGCAGCCAGACTAAATCTTGGTCGCTGGAACTTCTATGGTGCTGTCTATGTAAAGAACCTCTTCAAGATCATTTCGGGCGCTGTTTACAGAAACAATGGCTAATCCCCATCGCGATAGGGCCCGGAGCCTGTACGGAAATTCTTTCTTGATACCATCAAGGCCGCTTTCCTAAAGGTTCCCGGCTCAAAGTTCTTCCTTGCTGAGGATCGAACTGAACCATACAGCGTCTTGAAGACAAGGGAGAAGACCTTGCGAGGCGTTCCTTCCCTGGACGAGCTTCGTTGGGTGAGGTGTGTGGCTGGCCAACATCCCGTCATGTCTTCCTTATCCCGGCTTCGACATCACAGTTCAATGTTGTCCAGTCTGCTGATCATTGTTACAATAGCTGGCTACCAAATGGTGCGCATCTATTCTTTTCGCCCATCACAAAAATTTCTGGGACGGATGCCAAGCTCCAATACGAGGTCACGAAGCGCAGGTTCGCAGAGGCTGGGCTCGACTTCATTGGCACCTTCACCATTGGTATGCGAGAAATGCGTGAGTGCCCTCTATTACTTCAGGCAACCCCGTTATATACACGATACTGAGAGAGTTTGCAGACCACATTGTGTGCATTGTCTTCAACCGCGAAGACCCTCAGCAGCGCTCGAAAGCGCTATGGCTGATCCGGCAACTGATCCAGGACTGTGCAGAACGTGGCTGGGGCGAGTACAGAACACATTTGGCGTTGATGGACCAGATCGCAAATACGTATAACTTCAACAACAATGCTCAGATGAAGCTCAATGAAAAAATCAAGAATGCGCTGGATCCGAACGGCATTCTTGCTCCTGGGAAAAACGGCATTTGGCCAAAGAAGTACGACAAACGGGAATGGGTGCTTCGAGATGATGAAGCAGACATGTTGTCTAGCGATAGGAATCGCGTTATAAAGAGTCACTTGTAGTAATGCCACAATCGCAGTCAGTTACTGCTAGGTGTCATTTGAGCCACAGATGACCACACCCGTTGACTTCATCTCCTGGACGCCATGGAGGAGCTGACGACTCCGGGCCCGCAACCGGTCAGCCCTCGGGCACCGGAGGCTTGGCACATGCCCACCAAAGCCATTGCGGCACCTTTTGAATTGGCTACGCACACCCAGGTCGCCGAAGTCCGGACCGCACACTAGGTGCCACCCTCCGTTCCGGTACCCACTTATGCGGGGTAGGAATGCCGTCAGGCAAGCGGATGGCGGCCCCCCACTGCGGTGACGAGGCTTCGTGAGGTGGATGAACCCCTCAACGCAGCCAACGTCAACCATTACGTTGTTCATAAACATATAGGTGAAGTAATTTGACTGTGGCTGTTAAAGAATCTCTTTAGAAACGGTAGAGAGACAGGCGGGTGTTCTTTCCCCGCTTCCTTAGCTTCGACCGTCTCTCATCATGTCTAGATCATGAATAGCCCCATGGCGTATTCTTTTAACCAAATCGTTGCAGTAAAGTCCCGCGCGGGTTTTTAAGGGAGAACTACAGGCGATGATGCGACTGGTTCTCGGAGGAGCCCTCTCAATCCCTGCGGCGACTTCTACTCTCTTTGAGCCTTCCGAAGGGTGAACTCGACCAGCATCCTGGCTGTCTTGCAAGAGGCTGCTCGACTTATCCTTCCGGCTATATGAAAGAGGTCTTGTCTGCTACTTGAGATTCTGAACACAATAAGGTTTGTGTGGATCGTCGCCTTGACTACCTACGTAGTGATGCTTCATCTGGTGATTCCCGGCTGTGGCGGTTAACATTAGCTTGCTTTCCCGTGATCTTTTCAGCCTTTATACTATTCATTCATCAGCAGAGGCAGGAAATAAATCGAGTATTGTACATTAATGAGCCATTTACCCTCTCGTTGAATGTAGGTAAGCATTACTGGCCAGGGGTGGTCGGTCACACACGTTCTTTAGCAAAGAAAATGCCTTGTTCCAAAGGAGTAATCTCCATAGTCATGTTCATCACCAATCGACGAAGCTCACTTGATACGTCTAAAATGTTGCTTGGTAAGGCAGAGTACTTAAGATGGATAAGGTGTTCATCAACAACGCTCTAGTTGAGCTACCTACCCTATGCAGCGACTTGTTACCACCCAGGACAAGATCCCAATAGTTCCAAACGATTACATCCAATCTTTTCTCGAGCTTTGTCCCTTCGCCGACATGCCTAAATCTGAATCCGCAGTCAAGTCCGGAAACACGCCGTATCCCGGAGCCTTCTTGAACAGTGCCGGGCTATTGAATGTCTGGAAAACGATTCCTGGTTCTGCGGAAGATTACACAGTCGAGATCAAATTCCGCGAGTCAGACCATAGGCCAATCATTGTCGAGCGGATCAAGATTGTCGCAACTGGCCACTATGTCGAGACCAGAATGGCCTGGCTCGAGCCATTGCATAGCACGGTTCCAAAGACTGGAAATGGCGATACTGGTATACCAAACCACTGTTACTCTCGAAGCGCTTGGTACGATGCGAAAACTCAAGACGGACCGCATGACCCGGAAAAGGCGCGTCCCGAAGGCGGCCAGTCTATCGAGTTCATCATCGAGGCCGCGACTATGGAGATGCGATGGTTGAGGAACCTAAATGACCCTCGCCAGCGATGGGATATGCTTACTCCGCTTCAAGGAAATGCTCATAATTCAGTCGAGACGGAGTCGTAGTGGGGGGATGAACTCGTCATGCTCCCTGAGGCTCCCACCTCAAAAGAGATATTGCCGCGGGTAGGGTGCTAAGGCAGCTTTTGTCAGTTTGTTGCACGCACGTCTTCAACAAGACAGAATAAATCAAATCTTTAACTGTGTTGTTATTCATGTGACAAATGGCGCGCTGTCGCTTGTGTTCTGATGGTGAATACCTGATGCCCCCCTTGCCACAGAGTTCTCTAACAGCCGAGTTTCCCCTTCTTGCCGAACCGGTCAGCATGTGCTGCTTCTGAAATGCGCTACTTTATATCAGAAGACAAGGAGTGCGTTCACAGATCATGGTGTATCCTTACTGCACCGGTGGAAGTCACTCCGCCGCCATAGTATAGCTCTTTTGCGCCTTATTTGGTAGTGCAGTCTGGCGGGGCGTGACTTCTGTCATCGACTAAAAACCTGATCATACTCAACTGAATCAATCTCATAGGCATCCAGGGACAAGAATCAGTAAATAAATCCGAGTCTAGTAAAGGGTGTATCAAGCTCGAGAATAGGTTGAATGAGTAGAACTGTCAAGTGTTATCTGTAGCATGCTCATCTAGCTGAGTCGACTTGTAGCTATACGTCTTGTATCTTGAATCGTCATGAGAATCTCTGAAACAGGCTCTGAAGAGCTGAATTATGTGGGGAATACCTAGGTAAAGTTTGTTCAGATCCTGAACAGAAGTATCGTCGTCTTTCATTATGGTGTTCATCTACCGACACTAAGCGAGGGGCGGTTATTAGCGAGAGACTTCCCCTTGAATCCTGAATATCTGTTCGTAAGTTTCATGAAAAATTTCCTTTGTGACACTGAACAGTAGAAGTCACATGGGTTCTTCAGCAAAGACGGCTAATGTCACACAACGAAGGATCCTTTGATGAGTATAAAGGAGAAGTTCACCGCATAGTCTATATTCACTACTCCCCAGCAAAAGTGCCTCCTTCGAAGTTGTAACTTCGCTTGGGAAGTTCAAGTTTTCAAGTCTTCAGCGTAGGTTAAGTATGAGAGAAATCGTCTGCAAAAATGCTATGGATTGGCTGCCTATCTACCAGATATTCACCCCCAAGACAGCGTCCTGCAATTCAAGACCATTACGTCCAATATTTACTCAATTCGCCGCAGCTTTTTCAAAAATGTCTAGCGCTAAGAAGCCCGAGACAGTGCCAGAAGCTACTCCAGACGATATAATCAACCCCAAGGAGTTCGTCGGCACCTATTTCCGTCCTGAAAACCCAGATTCAAGGAAGGAAGAAAACCAGTATAAAGTCGAGATCTGGGAACTTCGATCACAGAAAGATAGTCATGGAAACACTGAACCAGTCCTTGGGATGAGATACACTCAAATTAAGGGCGGAAGCGAGGGCATTGTGAAGGATCCGATTAGAATTGGTCGTCTGGCACGATTCTCCACACTCATCGGCGAGGGTGGCAGATTCTGGGCACGAAGTGGGCTCATGGAAGTCGACCTTGGAGCGGAAGGTAAACAATCGGGACCCTCAGGTATCCCCGTATATACTGAGGAGGGGCACAAAGTTGATTTCGCGTTCAACAAAGTAGATGCTCTATGGGAAATGAAATGGACCAACGACTTCGACCACGAGGGTCTGGTAGTACTTCGAAGGAAGCAAGACAAGTAAACAGAGCATGGTTGGAAGCGTGTCGACATGGCCAATGAATCTGTTCGACTTCATGTACGTGGTAGCCAAACCTGACCGAGGCGGCTGGAACATCATAGCGATGGACCGCAGCTATTTCAGGTCCACTACCCGCACCTCTGCACCACTCTGTGAGGAGCACGTTGAGTTCCCAGATAAGGCGTAGACTGCGTAAATACTCGGTTTCATCAATGAAGCGCCCTCTATACAAAAGTCTTTGACTACAATCGGTTAAGGGGCCAACATTACCTCCATGTTACAATGAACAAACTATGTCGACGGAAGGCTGTGAATAGAAACCGTTTCAGAGATATTGACGACCTGTATTGGCTCAATTTCCTTGCCTATGGATCTTAATATTTACGGACAGTGTGACTGAATTAGGCGTGGAAGGTCCAGGTCAACGCACCTGCCTACGAATATCTGGCCCGTAATCCATCTTGGCAGAGCGTATTCCCACCTCGGCCAAACGGGAGGGCATTCCACCTCCACAGAGCGTATTCCCACTTCGACTAGAGGATACATAGGACACAGATTCGAAGGAAGGAGTGTCTCCCCGGTACAGCGCAAGCTTGCTGGGGCCACGTAGCCTGGTGGTTAAACGGGTGATGAATAAACTGGGACGCTGGTTTTTCGTAGGGATAGGGTTCGAACCAACGCCCGAGCTTTTTTTGTCAACTAACGAGTTTTCTGCTATTGCGTAAGGTATTTTGTTTTGATATAGTGGTGATGTTTTGTTGAGTTGGTATAGTAACGGAATGAGATGCGTTTCGTGTCCCCACATAGTAACCGTGATGTTTTGTTCATCAGCCAAACAAAGCCTCCTTCCTCATACGCCGCTATCTTGATGCAATATCACCGCGTTTTTGGCCTGCTTTGCGACGCCAAACCTCACCTTCCCGTTGGATATCATCAGAAGTTTAACCCCCATCCCACCGCCTCCCCTCCCCCTCGTACCCAGGAAACCCCGACAAAACCAAAAACAAAAGCCTAGATTTCCGGTAACATACCCATCCGTTCCTCGAATCCGAACCAAGCATCCCTTTCCACTTCCATTCCATCCTACCCGGTAGTTCCATTCCCATTCAGCCCTCCTGTAGCTGCCTCCGTTGACACCTCTCCGTCCCCAGTCCACGTCAAATCGTCCATGTTCGCCAACACAGTCCACGGATCGATCCCCATACCCGGCGGAATGGAGTCAAAGTTCATATTCATAAAAGAAACCGGATCCGTGCTAGGGGCATACTGCAAACCCCTAGAGTCCCACGTCGTCGTCGATGTCGACGTTGAAGAGGAACCCGCAGCGCCACCGCCCAGCATCGCGTTCTGAATGCTGGTTATGTCGATTATCTCATTGACGTTCCCCACTCCAACGCTGCCGCTACCACCGTTGCTTTGCGTGGTACTCCCGTCATCCGGCGAAGACGTGCTACCCCGCACGAGACCAGGCGGCGTATTGTTACTGCTGCTCCCGCCCGTCGACTGCGACGGCGTGCTCTTGTTGAATACGGACGTCGGCGACGGTTGTCCGGTTGCGGGGCTCCGGTGCGGGAGGTTGACTGGAAAAGTAGCCGTTCCTGCTGTTGGTCCAATAATGCCGCTCCCTCGCAGGAGACCCGACCCGAACCCGCCCACGCTATCGATACCAGAAGCCACAGGCACCGACGGGTAAGCAAAAGCGGCCCCTTGCGCCATGCCCGTCACGTCCGGGCTCTTTGTCGATGTAGTCGTCGTCGACTCCGATGTCCGCTTCCGTTTATTCGGCCCCATGTCCCGCGTATCAATAGACGCCGATGAAGACGGCGGGCCCATCCCGATAGGCTGGTCGAATTTCCCGAGCGTTGGCCCGAGCATCGGGTTGGTGCCTCCCATGGAGACGGGGGTGTTGCAGCCGCCGTCGTGCTGCACCCTGATCGGGTAGTGCTCGTAGGCGGTACCCTTTGGGTTGCCGAGCGGCAGTCTGCCGGGCAAGGGCGGCTGGATCTCGGTGTGCTTCGAGATGGACGTCCGCGCGAGCAAGGGAATGTTGGACGACGTCCAGCCAAAGAGGTTCTTGTAGTGTGCCAGATTGGGCAGATCGATGACGCCCGACAGGCCGTTGCGCTCGATGTCCATGAAGATCTGCTGGAGAAAGGCCTGCGTAATAATGTGCCGCCGACCAATCGCCTCCATGGCGTTGATGATGAACTTTAGATTCTGCAGGTCCGCCGTCGAGAAGCCGGTGTCCATGTTGCATTTCGCCGAGTACACGTACACAGACGCGGCCGAGTACAGCGATAAGGCGACCATGGGACTTTTCTGCAGTGCATGAGCGTTTCCGAAGCCGGGTTCGAGGCGGACGTGGCTTTCACTTACATAGCCCGAGTTCATGTGGCTCGTCAACTTGATGATGCTCACCACCTCCTCGGCCGCCGTTCGCAGCCGCAGCTCCGAGGCGGCCTTGAGCGGCTCGGGGAGCTTGTTCCGCTCGATCCTGTCGATCGCGGCGTGGTGGAGGCAGATCACCGAGGCGTGGAGGTTGAGGTTCGTGTGGACGGACGTCGGGTCCCGCATGCTCTGCGGCAGGCGGAAGCGCTCCGGCAAGAACATGAAGGCGCTCGAGAGCATGTTGTCAATGTCCCTGTGCCGCTTCCAGAACTCGCCGTACTCGACGTCCGCGGGCCTGTCGTTGGGCCGCTCCCAGTGGACGTGCTTCAGGAGCATGTTGAAGATGTAGCACATTATGACGGCGCCTGCAAAGGTCGAGTACGAGGCGCCTTGGAACGCTTCTGGTAGGGTTGATGTTTCTTCCTCGCGGGCCGAGTTGAAGGCCTCTTCCGACGAGGGAAGATGTGTAGTGATCTATCTGGGTGTCAGTATTCAGAAAAGAAAAAGGGGCCAGACATGCAGGGAAACATACTTCGTTGGGGTCGATGAGAGTAGGCCAACCAGTCGCGATACTTGCGTGGCAGTCGATGCAGTAAGCGCCCCAAAACGCCCTCCGCCGCTCTTCAAGGTCAACCCACGATGTGGGCGGCGCAAGAGTCGGCGCCATCTCCTGCCCGTCGCCGTCGATGCGGTGAAGACCCATCATCTCCACGAGCCGTACGCACTTTGCGGAACTCATGGCCGCTCTCGTGAAGAAGAGAGACCTCGCTTCGTCCGTCGCGATGAGAGCCCACGCTTGCGCGTGTTGGATAGTGAGGAAGTGCTCGCCGAATCCCTAACGTATTAGTGTGAGCGTCAGCGAATTCTATCCAGAGCATAGGGTGAGGGAGAGGGAGAACTCACCTTCATCTCATCCGCATCTGCGTATTGTCGAGCCCGTTTGTAGAAAATGTCGT